ATATTAGTAAAGCAGTAAAAATGACTGGTTTGTAATTAAAAAAAAATTGCTCAAATTTATAATGGTGAATTTTTTACTTCCAAAACTTTAGTTGCATATGTAAACGATTAAATTGATTAATTTACTTTCTTTTTTCAACCCCTTTTAAAGATATAAAAATAATATATTATACTTAAAGAATAGAAATTAATTGTCAATAATTCTAATATTAATCCTTTGAGTGATGTGATTTTTGATGCTCGATTATTTCTCCGTGATGAGTTTTTCCAAAAATAATGATAATGCAAAATGATAATATAATTATAAATTTATACGGCAATACAAACAATTATACAAATAATAGGCCTAAGTAAGAATATAATATGGAATATATTAATATAATACATATAAAAGATTAGAAGTAAAAATACAACTAATAGTGCTCACTCTAAAATGGAAAACGTAAATATACCGTTCGTATCACTCAAAGGGCTAAGCTTCAATTTTAAAAGATTAGTACGTAGAACGCAACTGCGAGAATTTGATAATTATTACTGTTATTGTCATTATATTGCATTTATTATCAATGATTACGCTTTTAGTCAAGTTATTTGTAATATCAAAAAACAATCAAAAATCACGTAAAGACCGTCGGCGGTGCCGAATATAACTACAAGGAAGAGAGATCGACAGTGAGGCCAAGAATCCAACCAATAATTGGACTAACTTGGTTCAACTACACCGACAGGAAACTCTGGAGTAAATTGAAAAACTTCCAATGACATTAAAGTCGCATTAGCAGGGACTAAGCAGGAAGCGGAACGACTTTTGACGGTCCATTTGTTTTCACGTGTGGATTACACGCTAAAAGGACCGACAGTGAACTTTCACGCGGTCTTTTAATCTCGCTCTATGAGAAAATCCCGCCGATGTCGCATACTTGTGTCATCATAAATAATGGGTTTTTTGCTGGAAGAACGAAACACGTAATAATCACTTTGTAATAAAGAAGGGTATTATAAATTATAGGAATAAATGTTTAAAATATAAAAACAATATTTTCCTTATAAAAAACAAAATCTAAAAAAATATTACTTTTGAAAATATTTAAAAATAAAAGAATCCGAATTAAGCTTCAAAGATTAGTATAAAGAATAAACTTCTATTTTTCTTTGGATTATTCTCACACATCAGTTTTATAAAAGAATTAATAAAAATTAGATTGAACTAGCAAAATTAGGATTATTTACATAGAAAACAACGGTAAGATAAAAAGTAGCAGATAAAAAGACTCTTATGTCATCGACCAAAAGCGAGGATCCCGCTGGAGTAAGATTACTCTTCGATTAGACCCACGTTCTGCGCATCGGTTTGATTAATCGCCGTCCTTCGGCCGGATACATTTTCGCGCATAGGGTTTTATGAAGATATTAACGAAAGATCGTTTTCGGTAAGCGGCCATAGCAAGCCGTAAGCGGACGCGCGCAAAAAGGAGCAGCAGGTCGGTGCTGGTTTTGGCGCTGCCTAAGACGCCTGAGCCGACCACCGATCGTACGACCGATAACCCGGTTAACCCCACCAGTCTGTTATTATAATATTTGCCGAGCCGAAATATAGTGATTGCTTATTTGCTCGGGCCCAATTACGTTCAAGCGCGCGCCGGCTAAGGGCCCGCGCTACGTGACGACGTGTAGGGGGATAGATACGAGAAGAAGGTGCACTTAGTCCCGAACGAACCCGACCAACCACCCACCCGGTATCCTATCTACCTGCCTCGGTTAACGTCGGCGACGTTGTAACGATTAGGTTCGCACGATCAGATACAGACGGGTGTAATGTCTATTATTGCTCACGGAGAACGCGTTACGTCGAATGCTTCAGCGATATCGATAATTTTCATGAAAAATCACGCCTTTTCTTTCCTCGTTAACGAGCTCAAGCCTGAAGAAATGAAACGAATCGTGAAAAAACGTAAAGAGGAGCTGTGAAGTTTTATAAAATCTTAGCACCTTCGCAGAAAAATTATATATCCGTAGAATACGAACTAACAGTAGCATTACATCAATATTATAATTTTCTACTTAACAATATGTAATATAATAATAAATATAATATATGCAATACTTAACAGTTACATCGTTGAGTAGGAAAATTATAACATTGATATAATATTACTGTTAGTTTGTATTCTGCGGGTAATTAATTTTATTTTATTTTTATTTAAATACTGATTGTATATATGCGTGTATTTTCTTCATTGGCTGTACAATAAAAGAATAAACGAATTAATAAGATATAAATTAATAATTGTTGCATAATAATTCGGGGACAAACTTGTAATACCACAGTCGCTGTAAAAATGTTGTATTATAATACATGAAGACATATTCTCTTTATCTTTGTATTCAAATATAAAAAGAAGTAAGAATTTCCTGATTTATTTATGGCTTCCATAGTTTTAGCAGACCGTCCTCGCTATAAGAACATAATAAATTTTGATGGGGATGATGCGCCAAGCCAATTACGTCCTTTTCGTGTATCTAAAAAGGCCGCGACGCTGTTAATCGGAATAAACAAATATTATAATGAAAGTTGAAGCTATACTCACATTCAGCGTTCTTTCAAGCTTTCCCGACGACGTGGAAAAACAGTACAGTACGAGATCTTCACCAACGCAATAGATAAACTCGCCACGTGGACTCACCACTGTAGTTACAAAGTCACCTCCCTCTCGTTTACCACTGGAGAACGATCTCACTATTTGCCCTTGCATATTCATAATTACTACCGTGTTAGAACGATTGCACACGACGAAGTGCTCCGGATTTCGAGGAAGGGTGTGTATACTGTTTACTGTGAGATCAGCGGCTCCCAATGATTTGTAAGTGCCTATGCATTCGGTGGTCTTCAAGCTCCAAATTTTCACAGTTCCATCCGATGACGCGCTATAAAATAAAGAATGACACTTATTTATTAAAAAAAAACAGAGATTTTTTCCTGTTTATAATAATATACCTAATTATATTATGACCGTCCGAAGAAAAAACGACTTCGTTCACAAACGAAGCGTGACCGCGGAATTCCTTGAGAGTCTTTCCAGACTTAAGACCGTGTACCCTACGAAATTGGTATGGCATTGTTAATAATATTATATTTATTGTTAAAATATATTTGAAATGTAATTCATTTATATTTATATTACCTTATAGTAGTATCGAACGAAGTTGACAATATTTGACTGTTATCTCTGCTAAACTGTAGGCAAGTCACGCCTTTCAAATGTGCCTTCTCGAATCTCCTCAAGCATTGTCCACTCTGTACCCTCCAAACCTTAATTTTACCATCCTGACCACCTCCTGCCAACATCTCGCTGTCACGACTGAACGCCATCGACAGAACCGCTTGCTCCATCATCATAAAGTTATCTTGCGCTTGGTATTTCAAGTCTTTTCTAATTTTACCGGTCGTGAAGTTCCACACTTCGATAAAACCGTCCACTGTACCGGTCACCAAGTATTGGCCATCGGGTGAGAAACGTGCGCACTCCACGTGTGATTTCTGGCCGAATTTGATTTGTTTCGACAATTGCGTCGGGTATTTCTCGTCTTCTTGGTCACGAACCGCCGCTTTTCCTCGGAACAAGTCTATCGTGGTGCCAGGCGGTAGTAGACCCTGATGTTGCTGCCACTTTAACGCTTGTCCCAACAGTGCGAGCAATCTGCTGGATGGTACTACTGACACTTCACCAGCGAGAGCGGTGGCTATGTACGCTCTCCGTTTTTCCTTTGTGCTTCCATCGGGATATGCCTCGCGCGGATCGAAATACGAACGTGCAAGTAGATTTTCTGCGAAATAATATATATATATATAATATTACAAGTAACATTAATAATTATAAAATAAAAAATTTTTAATTAAATGTGATAGACATATACCTAAATGAATGTATCTCTCAGGTTCTTGTTGCTTCATCATAATCATGGGATCAGTCTGTCTTAATAAGGAACGTGCTGCACCTAATTCTCGTAGTTCAATTAATTCTAAAACAACCTAAGAAAAAATAAAATCTATGAGTTTTGTAAGAAAATATAACAATTAACAATGTATTATAAATATTTGATTTAGCTTTGGAAAAATCTATATATTACATATTTAAAACAATAGGTTTGTTGTTTTCAGCTGAAATTCTTTCCTCTTTTCCTCTTCACCTCTTGAAGAAAAAAAAAGAGAAAAAATGAACACTGCAAAAAGATCAGCTAAAAAGAACAAGATCCATTGTTTACAAGATGTGTATTTAAGAAAGCTATTATATTATTTTTAATGTGTATAATTTTTATTTAAGGTACCTGTTCATACAAATCTATGAGTTTCTTGTCAGGTAATTTTAATGACTGTATAGCTTTCAGAACTGTGTCCCAATGGCCATTATTTATATCGGCAACAAATCCATCCACACTGTCTACAGTATTCAGCGACACACCTGTTTCCTCCTGTGTACCAAATATGTTAACAAGTAAACATTAAAAAAAATTACATTATCCTGGTGAATATTTTTCACAGAATTTTTATATGAATTTAAACACTTTTCAGAAATAATGAGAAAGTCTATCTTTTATAGAATTCTGAAATACCTAAATTCTGAAATATTCTAAAATGTTTAATGATGAATTCAGTTATTCATACTACATTGGATTAGTACATGTTAAAAGCTGCTTTATATAAAGTATCTAAATACAGCGGCATAATTAACATTTATAACAAAATAATACACATATATTCTGTTAAATTACATGAAAAATTCTGACAAAATTTCATGATAAAACGTTGAGAAGGAAGTACCTGTAAGGTTTGCAGCGTCTTGACAAGGTTTGACTCCTTAAGATACTGCTGTATCAATCGGATCACACTAAAAAACAATCAAATACATTGCACGATATACAATTCATATTTCTAACAATCTAGTAGTCAGAATATCATTGTACTCACTCGGCAGACTCTATTTCGATCGACATTTCCAGGTATCTTGCAATTCAGACAAGTAGAACAACAAACTTCAAAGGTTATGTTCCTAAGCAACCTGCGGTGTCTGGTGACGCGGTTGACCGTGCATCCGCATCGTTCACGAATGTGGCGTGGAAACGAAAGTGATCGCACTCGTCAGATCGTAATCAAGTATTGGAGACGCGTCCGTCGTCTGTTCTCCGAGGAAAACAATCCCTCCACGCAAAAGTCAACTCTCCACACAACGATACCTGCTGATACCCGCCAAGTGCCGGCCGCTCTCGTCAGATAGCGTTACGACGGAACCGTGCTCCAGATTCTCCTCTACCTAGTCCACCCTGGTCCGCAGCATCGATAACACACGGACTACATAAATAAAAATGCGGCTATTTAAAATTGGCTCCTCGGCGATGTGAGAACCGCGACCTTTAATTGGGTCGTGAGTATCGCGGGACATCAGTTTTTTACCCCTCGCACTCTTTAATTCTCGCGACTGCGAAAAATCGACCCCAACGATCCGCAGTGTTCTCATATACATTTGCCAGAAAGTGTGATGGCAAAGTATTTTTTTTGTTTTGTTTTCTTTTCTTATTTGTACTGTGTTCTTCCAAAAATCCTGTTATCTTAATTGTTCAGCATTTGAATTCGGAGACACGTCATGGAGCATCTCGAACGGCAACTGCACGTGTGTCGTGTGTAAAGCTATGTCCTTACTGGAGCAACAAGAAACTTTTGTTACCTGCTGTCTCTGAATATTCCGGAATTTCAAGCATCTTTCGATTGAAACACGTGACAAACAGCAACTTTTCGCTAGTAATAGAAACATCAAGAATCTTTTGGCAATAACTGCCAATTTTTCAAGAAACGTGGAACATCAACAAAAAGTTTCTCATTATTACTTCAATGAGGACATAGACTGTTTCAAAATGCACTGCCAGTGCTAAAAATCTATAGTGTACTCTTTAAATTCTTTGGAGTGGAATCTTACTCTAAAGAATGAAAATTGAACTAGTCTTGGAAAAGAATGGTTCAAATTTTAATCCATTTTTAGCAATGTAGATTAACTTTAATCTTGGTTTAATTTTTTATCTTCTAGTTCTAGGATTAGAAAAAAATAAAAAGTAAATTAATTCAAGATTCAAGTTAACGTACATTGCTAGAAATGAGCCTATGAGATTTCACTCTTTAGAATGAGATTCGCTTTAAAAATTTTAGAGAATATTTGTGTACGTAACATAAATTTCTAAATTTTTAGCGACAGTGAATTTTGGAACACAGCCATTTACATGCTCCACTCATTTTCAGTTTTAAAATGCATATTTTTATATTTTTCAGACTAACGGCGACCTTCCTCTAATCATGAAAGTCAGTCTTCTGTTTGCTGTTCTGCTTCCAACGTGGGCCAACGCGATTGTGTGTCCACAGCATTGCTTGTGTAAACCTGTCGGTGCTCAAGCTGAGTGGTTACGTCTTAAATGTAACAATGGTTTAGAAGAAATCAAAGATGTAGATGTCAACAAAGTCAACGTGGAACTCATACAATTGTAAGGCTGTTCTGTATATATCTTCTACATTTATTTTTGGTTTCTAACAACAGTGCGATAATAGTCGAATTAATTACAGGGACTTGAGCAAAAATGTCATTCACGTTGTTGAAGTGGATGCATTTAAGAATTTGACAAATCTCAGACGGCTTGATTTATCAAAAAACAAGATTGTTTCTATAGGCGAGGGTTGTTTTAACGGCTTGACAAACTTGGAGCGATTGTAAGAACTCGTACATAAATAAAAACTCATCTACAAATTTGCTTTATGCCTGTTTTTTATTTATAGATTAACTTTACTTTTGATTCAGTTTACTCTTCATCTTTTTCTAGTTCTAAGAATGAGAAAAAGGTGAAGAATAAGTTGAACCGAGAGTAAAATTATTCTATATTGATGGAAATGGGCACCTTTAAATCTTCTATAATTCTATAATCTTATAAAACTCGTAATTTCAGGGATTTAAGTCAGAACCAGATATCAGTAATAGATAGCTATGCATTCAAGAAATTACCGAATCTCAAAAGGCTGTAAGTTTAGAATGAAGTTAATACATTTGAAAGTTAATACATTTGAACACAATTTTCTTATAGAGATATTTCTTTCTTATGCATTTTTTTTGCTTTGTTGCTCTAGCGATTTGTCTGGAAATAAAATTACTGCTCTGGCGCCATCCTTATTTCATGATTTGTTGGCCTTAGATCGTTTGTAAGTTAAAGATTTATTTACGCTAGCAAATATTAATTGTACTAGTTTTCTATGTGTATGTATTATTATATAGAAATCTGCTTTATAACATACAAATATATGTATCTATATAATTTAGGAAATTAAATGGAAACAGTTTAACTACTTTGAAAGAAGGCACATTTCACGGGATTAACATGTTAAAACAGCTGTGAGTAATATAAATTTCTACTTATTTTTTAATTAATATATCTGTATAAAATTTATAACATTTATGTGTATTTCAGAGACTTGTCTAATAATCCTTGGAAATGTGATTGTGACCTATATTGGTTCAGTAATTGGATCTACAATTCTTCAATTAAATTGAGGTAACGTATATTACGCATTTCTGATTAATTACGATTACTAACATTGAAGTTTTTTTTTCACGTTTAATTTAATATTTCAGTCTAATGCCAAAATGCTCGTCGCCACCGTTTGCCAAAGGGCAATCGTTGAAGAAATTAAGATTCTGGGACGAGCTTCAGTGTCAGTGGATGTCGCCGGCAATTGAAATTCGTCCGATTCAAAATCAAGTGGTATTTGCTGGAGATTCGATCACCTTAAAGTGTAGAGCACCCAGCGTTACGATAGATAAAAATGCCAGATTGAATTGGTTGTGGTATCCTAATGCGTCCGCCGAAATCGTGGACTTGAATTCTTACAGAGATCCGCGAAAGAATTTACCTAATATTAAGGTTGATAACAGATATCTGCCGGATAGCGGTATCGTGGACAGGTAATATAAAATTTCTCAAATTGGTATAGGTTAATTATTGTACTATATTTATACTAAGTTTAAGTGTTGCAATTTTTTATACGGATTGAAAATTTAAAAATTTTTTAAATTAATAACAAAAAACTTTAGTGAGTTTCAAAGACCCATATGTTTCTTTAGCGTCACAAAAAATATATATTCCTATTATGGATAATGAATAATTATTATATAACAATTAAAAATAGAAATAGAATAGAAATTAGAATAGAATAGAAATTATTATAAAATAATTAAATAATTATAAAACAGAATAGAAATTATTATATATCTTTTGCGTTATTTCTTAGTGCTCTTAGTATTGTCCCGATCAAGGAGGAGCATAACGGACAATGGAATTGTTTATTAGTTTCTGTAAACGGCAACAAGTCGAAAGCAGTCAGTGTCATCGTAATATCCGAGCATACGCGTTATTGCCCTCTAGCAGGTAATTAATTGAATCTTGTAGCACTAAAGAATTGTTAATCATGTACTCTCCTTTCAGTAACGAAAAACAACAAGGGCATTTATACGTGGCCTAAAACAATAGTAGGATGGAAAGCGGAATTGCCGTGTGAAGTCGATCGTCTCTCGGGCTTGATGCAAGTGCCTTTGAAAGCTTTTTATCACTGTAACACGAGCGGTCAGTGGGAGCGTCTAAATACGGAATCATGTCCATACATATCTCATACAACGAAAATCTTAGAGCAATTTTCGAAAGTTAATCTATCTTTAACGAAAAGCAGTCTGCTGGAGACAGCCAAGAGATTTAAAAATTACACGGGAAACGGCTCGGTAAAGTTAACAGATCCGGTTGAAATCCATTTCATCGTGCGGACTATAGAGAATTATTTGAATTTCTTAATAGACGAAAAGGAACTTGGAATCATGTTGGTTGATATCGTCAGTTCGATGATGAAATTGCCGAAAGAGATATTAAAGAAAGCAGAAATAAATTTCAAAGCCTGCACGAGACTGATTAAAGCGATCGAACGTATTACAGAATTTACACCGTCCATACAATCGCATAAAAAATACATGGCGCTCGAGGAGTTTCGAATTAAGCGCGACAGTTTCGGCGGATTAACATGTACATGGTATACAAATATCGCTACGAACACCGATTCGGATACAAGATTTCTGCACTGCACAACGATTAACAGGACGACGCCGATCAATACAAAGGACAAGACAATAGAGGCTTCCATTCAATTACCTGCCTCTTTGCTGCAACACTCGCAAGACAGTGCAATAGCTCAACAGCTTATGATATATATGTATAGCGACAGCAGGTTCTTTCCTAAGACGATTGCAAATGATAGCATGGACATATCAACGTGTATTGTTGGCAGTAAATTAAGTGAGTCGAAAACCATAGCGCATGTAAAATTTAGGTTCCACTTCTTTAATCCTTCGAAGCTGACGTCAAAATCTGTAACAGAATTACTGACGCTGTGAGCTCCATTTAATTTATGTTAACTAAAAGACACTGATTAATTTCAAGCAATCAAATAACATAATTTGAATAAAAAAGAATGAATACTAAATTCACTTTAATAACAATAATTCAAATTTGCAGATGTAACATAAAGAATATAATTAAATATATTTAAAAGACTCACGTTAGCTCCGAAAGGATATAGTTGAATAGGTCCAATAGATCCATCGTTAGCTCCGAAGGATTAAATAAATTGCGTAATTTTTTGCAGTTGGTACATCAGTACGAAATCTGTCCGAACCAGTCTACATTATGCTGAAGGCGCCGTTGTATCATTATAACGGGAAAAGGCCAAAACCAGTGGTATGGGATGAAACATTGAATAACATAGGAGGCTGGACCAGTGATGGATGCCATTTAATCAACCTATTAAGTAATCTGATAGTTTTTCATTGTGACAGATTGGGATATTATGGACTTTTACAGGAAATTCCGTATCTTGATATAGATGGAAATAGGTACGAGATTTTTCTACACGTATATTTTTTTAAGGTTTTCTTTTCGATCATGATTCTATCATTATTGCATGTGACTTTTGCAGTTTACACGGGGCGAAATTCAGGTACTCACATCCTGCGATATACATCGGAAGCTTCGTGACGATAACTTGTTTGATGATCACGTCCGTGACGTACATTATTTCTTACACGTCTATCACGATGCCTAAAAAAGCGAAACATTCCATTATCAATACTTGGTTCGCTATGGCACTGTTATCATTTCTATATACTATCGGTATCCAGCAAACAGAGCACCTTGAGATTTGTCAAGGTGTCGGTCTTACTTTACATTATTTGTCGTTGTGTTGCCTACTGTGGATGGCAGTATCTGCCAGGTAAATATATTGTCTATGTTCTGCAGAAAAAGCGACTTTGTACCGTAAAATTTTATAAAATATAAAATTCTTTAATATGATTGATTTTGCTCTTACTGGATTTAAATGTATAAATCAATTATATACGAAAGAATCTTATAATAGTTGCAAAGCTGCTTTTTTTGCTGAACGCAGCCATCATACATGTCCCTCGAAGAAAATAAAATATTCATCGAGATCTTTCTGTTTCAGCAATATGCACAAAAAACTGACGAAACCAAGCCTCAATGTAATACCCGATGATGAGCTTCCGGATCAACCTCTACCCAAGCCCTTGTTAGGACTCTACTTGGTCGGATGGGGTGTAGCTTTGATAATTTGTGGAATATCTGGCGCAATCAATCTACGTGAATATGCCGGTTATTCTCATTGCTTCCTCACGTCCGGACCGGCGCTCGCTGCGCTTTTTATACCATCCGGAATTTTAATCGCGTACTTGCTCATCTTCCTCTTGCTCATCAGACGTGCGATTCAGAACGTCGACATGAACACGCAATTGTCTGAGGGTACTCAGGCAACGGAGAACATGGATTTGGAGTTATTGGAGCCGAACGCGAATCCTTCTGGAGACAGGAATAGCATGCGCAGCACGCAGACGGTGTTCTCCGATATTGAGGATCCGGAACACTCGCAATTTACGCAGTGGAAGGGCCAAGTCATCATGTTGGTGTTGTATTTGATATCCTGGAGTAGTGCAGCCGCGGTAACGATCAAGCCGTTTGATTTCATGCCGTTCGAGGAGACCGTGTTCGCCGTGATATATGTCATCACTACGAGTTCTCTGGGTGTTTTCGTGCTGTTCTTCTACGGAATCGCTCGTAACGACGTTCGAAGTCAGTGGCTAAAGATGCGATGCTGGCTAGAAAAGCGGAAGAACCGTTGCTGCCGCACCAGGAGCGTGTGCGACGCGAACTCTGTGATTCCGACGCAGCCTCTCGTGCAGAATTTTGTCCCGCCGTTGTCGAACTCGCAAGCCACCCAAGCGATGTCCGACACGAACTCCATCGCTTCGTCGAGGAACACCAATCAGTCGCAACAGATCTACAGCAGCTCTAAGCTCGCGGACTTGGCGACCAATCGAGAAAACATGTCTGCCGTTTCCGTGAACACGAAAGCAGCGAATCTGATAGTAATGCATCGTCATCAGTATCACTCTAATAATTCCGTCACCACCTATACCGAACCGTCGTCGGCTTGCGTCGAGATGTTCTACAATCCTCATCAGAGCGGCGTCGCTAGGAAGTTCTTCAAGAAACAACGTAGACACGCGACCGCGAAGAAAAATAATCTCGGTCCGAGGAAGCAGGGCGATGGCGGAGCTACCAGTGACGGCGGCAGTTGCATTTCCATACCTCGGCCTACCGCAAAGATCAACAATAGTCTAGAACGCAGCATCCTGAGCACCAGCGCTAAAGTCAACAATACCAATATACACGTCGAGCTGAACCCCATAAATGGTATAAAAAACGTCAATATATTGTCGGATAGTGGCGGCAGCATCTCTGAGGAAAGAATCCCGATGCGCTTCGTTATCGGTCAGGAGAACTTGATGCATAGCATCAAGAAGATCAATAATAGCGCGCAACAGGATAGCCCGCACGTCAACGTCATGATGTCCAATACAAGAGAAACGCCACAACCAAGGAGAATGGCACAAGACTCGGACGCGGACGTTTCGAAGACGGACGAAGAGTGGCACTTACGAAACGTCTCCCAGCAATGTAGTTTGGAGTACAGCTCCGAAATGGATACCGTCACGCAAATGACTAGCGAACGGAGCGATCATAATCTGCCGGAGATCTGCGAGAACGTGGAAATGGCACAGCAGGAGCGTTTCTCGAGGAAAAGGTGTCCTAGCGTGAATGAGATCGAGATCGCTGATGAGGAACGCATATCAAGAGATATGGGACGGTTGTATCTTTCCAACAGTATGTATTGCTTACCGTTGGAGTACGAGAAACCGCTGATAAACAATTACTGTAACTCGTTGAACGACCTCACGTCCCTGACGAGTGCAAAGCACCGTGACTACTCGAAACCATCGTTCATAGATATACAAAGTACTACCAGCTCGAATCTATGCGGGCAACAAGTTCCTGAGTCCCAAGAATCATTCGATCGTTCGGAACGTTCGCTCTTTGAGATAAACAGCTTGACTAGTGATAATCCATGTACGTTAACACCGCGCGCGGAAACCCCCTACGCCTGTTCTCTATCGAATGTTTATTATATCTCCGAAAAAAGTTTGGAGGAAAACAATTCTCGTGAAAAGTCGCAGTTGCCAGACGTGGATCACAATGTATTTAACGCACCCGAGTCGAAAGATCTTCTGTTGGAGAAGAACTTCAGTTCTCTCGCTGATATTCCGTCAATTAGTAGGTCTAGTTCGCGTGATATTAATAATCTTAATTTAATCGATGAAATGAACGCATTTGCGAAACCTGCGGGTGATATACAACAATTTGAGGCTGACGAGATTTATTTAGATGAGTCGATGAACTATTTGCCAGTCAAGAAAGAAACCAGCGTTTAATATATAATTATATATTGTACAATTTATACATAAATTATGTATAATTTATATATAAACTATATATATAATATATATATGTATTATCTAATATTTATATATAATTATAATCATTATATTATATATATAATATATGTATTATTATATATACTTATATATATAATTTATGTATATGTATAATAATAACAGATCACTGTTCATTCGTCTGCTATAGCAACGTATTTATTTTTATGCATAATTTCATAGACTGCGCAATATTGAAACTAGCATTTTGCAATTTGTAAACGAGATTATTAGAATCGTGTTTAAGACGCTTCATATATTAAATACTCATGTCTTCTTCCTACATATGCCGCGTTTAAAGATTTTGTATATAATGAAAATTGTTCGCCTACTAATAATCATGCCTATAAATAGTCTTCAATCAGCTTGATAGTTCATTTTAATTAAATATTATATGACTAAGCAAAAACTGCAAAGCTTTGAAATGACTTCGATCAGTTGAAGAAGTTAAATTCAACAGATTTAAATAATCTTCACAATAATGTCTTCGATATTTCTATCGTGGCATACATATAAGATAAAATCCATTGATTTTTATCGACAAAAGGAGAATAATACTTTAACACAACAAAATACAATCAGAAAACCTCTAAAAATATTTTTCGGTTAGTCAAGACACATCAAGCCAATACATCGATTCCAGTGAGATTTCATTTTTGAAACGACTCATGGATATCTATAGATCTTATAAAAGATCTATATGGATATCGGCTTTCAAATGTCAAAAACTTAGTATTGACTTTTCAATACTAAATTTAGCTAACTCAATTTCGCTACATTATTTATTCATCATATTCTGAATAAATACTCTTCTATATATATATCCAATATATATACATGTATAGATATATATCACGTGGAGATATGATTGTAAAATCATTTTGGCTGTGAAATATTTCCCTTTAATTTCATCAAGGAATTTACTTAATAATTATCACATTTCAATTTGTAATATCGTAATATTATCGTTTGTATAATTTTATACATGTTTATACATTATAAATATCTTCCCTACATTTGTATGATCTCTAAAGTTGACATGATATCATGTTTTATTTTAACAAGATGATATTTGCTTTGTAAGTATGACTGCTTAATACGAATTAAGAGATAAGAATGGAATTTCTGTAAATCGAAGACTGAATATTAAATTAAATTTATGAAATTCTGAATATGATTACCACCGACTTCCGCATAAATATATTTACGTGTATCTTAACGAAAAACCTCGTTTTTGATGCCTGACATATTGTAAATAATGTTCATTTAAGTTTTTAGAATTAATATAGTTCGTATTAAGTGCGTTAAAACAGCTCGAGAAATTTTATATACTATTTACAATCTTTTATCTCATTATTATTTTTACTTTTATATTGATTTCTTCGAAAAATATATATTTCAATGTATGTACGATTGTACACAAGACCGGTTACTAATTAATACATGTATATTGTACAAAAATTGTGTCCATTTTTATTTACATAGTTCGATAATACTTGGCACTTCAAAGATCACATTCTTTCCATCTCCTATTAAACACATGATCAACAAAGTAAGTTTTCATACATCTATAAAAAATGACTCAAAATATTAATCCATATCTTTCTATCATTTCAGATCCCGCTTATGTACTAAAATTATATTATAATATTACCTTTACATAATTTTGTTTTTAATTGCGCGAAAGTCACTTTGAGAAATTAAAACCTATACTTGCACATTGTCCGAATTTGCTTCGTCCAACCAATCTCTCGGATTTTTCAGCACCTCCAGAAGTTGCGACTCCTTCGAACCAGCTTTAGGTTCGTGCATGTATTCCCATTTGGCGTTCAATGGTAAAGACATGAGTATACTCTCGTATCGCGCACCAGGTGTGTACAGGCCAAACTTGGTGCCGCGATCGTAGATCAAATTAAACTCGACGTACCTACCTCGTCGCAATAGTTGCCATTGCCTCTCGTGATATCCGTAACCATCATTCTTGTGTTTCTTTACTAAAGGAATGTATGACGGAATGACTGCCTCGGCACAAGAAGTGACGAACTGAAACGCCTCGTTCTGACTTGGAGTATCGAGGTCGTCGAAAAATATCCCGCCCACGCCGCGCCGTTCCCCTCGGTGCACGATGTTGAAGTAATTGTCGCACCATTCCTTGAACTTCGGGTAATAGGAAGGATCGTGCTTGTCGCAGGCGGTTTTTAACGCTTTATGAAAGTGTTTGGCATCTTCCTCTTCCAAGTAATACGGGGTAAGATCTGTACCGCCTCCGAACCACCATTGAGTTGTACCATCTGGATTCTCCACTTCGAAGTAACGGTAGTTGAAGTGAATCGTGGGGATCATGGGATTGCGAGGATGAATCACAGCGCTGACACCGGCTGCGAAGAACGGCACTGAGTCTTCCATCTTCTTACCGCGTGCCCTCATCTGTTGGACAGCGTTCGGTGGTAGCATGCCGGTTACGACGGAAACGTTAACACCAGCTTTCTCGAATACTTGTCCGTCTTGCAGGACGCAAGTAATACCGCCACCACCTTCTTTTCTGGTCCAGCGATCCACTTTGAAGGAGCTGCCGTTCTCCAGTTTTTCGAGAACTCTGCAGAAGTCTGCCTGAGTCTTCATCACCAGCAGTTCCATTTTTGTTTTCATATCGTTCGAGTTTTTCTGCAATTGCTCGACGGCTGTGATAGGCTCTGCCATAAAAGTCTTCTTATAAATGTGCAGGTCATTTTGCGCTGCCTGAACTACATCACTGTATATGCTGTACGTAGCCAGCCCCGTAAGGATTCCTGCCCCAAAATTCTGTAGGTATTTCGAGTTTATAGAAAGTTTGCTCCATGTAGACCATGCAGTGTGATGGTAAGTGTTAATAGAACGTAGGACTCTTCGTACCATATAACGTGTAGCCATGATTTCTTTGAAATTATTCTTTCTAGAACAAAATTTAAAGTCTTATTTTCTAGTCAGTGTCTTGCAACTACAAAGTAGTCTTGCGGTGTTATAATCGGGAAGTGTTTTCCGATTAGATATCAAACCCATTAGATTAGATTAATAAGTGCATTATATTTTTATAAATAATAAAGCGTAAAGAGTCTCTCTCTTTGCGTATTTTACACGATTACTATAATATTATTATATACCGTCCATATCCAGCATCTATTTCATATTATAAACGCGATTATTTTCGCTGTAAAATTATAAATACAAAAATAAACAGTAGTATAAAATAAAAATACTGAACTCCACTTGTATAGAGAGAAAATAATATATATATATCTTGAAAAAGTTTATTGTATATTACAAGTTTACTGAAATCTTGTAAAAAGATTCTCTGAAAATTCCCAGATTTTCTTGGTTTTTTTATTCAGGCAAGAGATTAAAGAATTTTTCAATGCAATTTTGTGAAATAAATTGAAATGCAAATTAGCAAAAAACAGGGTTTCCATGAAATAATATCGTGTCATTTTCTGCAAATAGAACCACAAAATCTATAGAAAGCATAGTATAAGGAAGGCTCATTAATCAATTACTCCATTAGTATCAGTTACTTCATTCTGTTGAGTATTTTCTACTGTCACCGTGACAACTTTCTTAAAAAATATAGTCATCATATTTATAACTGTTTATTCACTGACTAATGCTTTTAAACTCTAGAGTGTTCTCAAACTGACTGCATCATTATTTTCTCGATTGCACAGGCACATGATTTATACGCGTTATACTTTGCCATGTGTATTCTCTCCTCTTTCACCATTTACTCCATTTTCCTTGAATCCACAGCGTTTGTTCCGAGCCCCTTGCTGCAATCTGAATCTTCGAGTTCCTCAGTATCTTCTTGATATTCTAAATCGTCCTTGTGTCCACGCTAGATTCTAGAAATCGATCTAAGAAAGAATCAATTGTATTGTTGATGAATTGTTCAAGTATGATTTGTTCATTTCTTCTCTATCCAAGATCAGCTTGATTTCTAGCATCATGAACACAAGGCTTAACTCCACTTCTTGGACAGCTAATTTCAGAAACTTCCACGTGGAAGAAGAGAACACGTGACAAAGTGTAAAGCGTATATAAACAGCTAGTTCAAGAACGTTCTAGTATCAGTAAAATAAAATTATTAGAACTTTGCAGAGTTAAATATTACTGCTGAAATCTTTATTCCAAACACTACCACTTACCATTTTAATTCATGACATTGACTGAAAATTCATAAAAGATAAAAAATACTATACAATAAACACTTTTAAAATATATATTGATACTTTCCAGCAAGAAACATAGTATAACACAGCAATTATTTTATCTTTGTTTAATATTGGCAAATAACAAGGATGTAATATAATTCACTGTGTTACACTGTGATTCATCTGTGTCTCTTGCTGATAAGTGGCTATATTATTTTCTCTTAAGCCAAATTTATGTTTTTATCTTCAATAGTTTCAAGACACTCACGGCGAGGTTTATGAATCAGCTGTTGATGGAACTGACGGAGTTCATGAAGTGATTTGAAGAGACCTTGACACTTGACACCTAAGGTTTGTTCGCGTCGCAAGCTCCAACATATCTCCTATTCACTCTATCAAGCGCGTTGGAGTGAGTAAGAGCTATGGTAGAAGCATATTGGAACATGTTGGAGCATGCGACGCAAACAAACTTCTACACTTGCTACACTCGCATCACAAATGTCACGATACCAGAGAGAAACTGAGAGAATCCTGATAGACCATTTCGGCATCGAAATCTCTGGTACACTACCGCCAATATATATCCATTTCCAAATTGAGTACTACGTTGCTACTTCCACTTCCGACACTGTCGATAAAATCATAGTAGAGAGAACGTTGAAGGATGTGGTGCGAGTACACACACTCACACACGTGCGCGCAGACTAATTCCACAAATTATGAAGAATGTTGAATTTGCATATACATAATATATTTGCATATACGTAAGTGTAAAAATGTATGGATAAATATATATAAATGTTAATCAATTATATTGTAAGCTATAGCAAAAGAAAAATTATGTAACATAACTATGGTATTCATAGTCGAGTCTTATTTCAAGACCGTCTTAAGTAATGTCTTAAGACGCTAATGAAACCTTCTGATTGATTCGTGACACCTCAAGGCTAAACTTAAGAGATCTTGAATATAAGAATTAATTACGAATACTGGTCTATATATACAGATCTAAAAAAACTTCTCGAAATTCAAGTTTAACAGAAACTTTAGTATGATAAGTATCTCAGTTCAAGAAACATTGACCAATATTCATTGCAACGACACTTGCATGATAGCGAGGATTTTGCAAACATTGTTTTATCCATATAATTATGAACTATTAAATTATAGAAATTTTTATGCCAATAAAATTCTTGGTCCAAGTTTTTCTAAATCGAAAATATTATTGTAAAGGAAATAATTAGGAGCGCGAGCGTGGCATGGCAGACAGCTGGTCTATCATGCCAAAGGTTCCAGGTTTGATCCCAGTAGGAACCAAAATATTTACGCTCGTGTCTCCTCTCAGAGAAGGCCAGCAATCTTCCGAGAGTATCTTTGCCCACAGAAACATCTCGAAAAAGTCCACCGTTCGGAACCGGCATTAAAGCTGTAGATCCTATATGTTTGTGGCAATTGAATAATCAGTATGCACATCACAAGCATATGAGAGAGATGTAATACAGGTCAGAAGCTTAACGTGAGAAGAAAAAGAGATAATTAAGTAGAGAGAGTAGATCAATACGTTCGATTAAATAATGATACTCAATTGAGTAAATAAAATATACTATTCAATTCTATGCTGTACATTTCCTAGCGCTTATGTTTAAATCGTATGGTACTCTCATCGAAATATGTGTTATACTGTCTCCATTTTTCTATAGCCATAATCCGTTTTGAAATTCCGTCTGGTAACAAGCCTAAAAAAACAAGCAAGACAAGCATTATTTCCAGAAATGTAATTCTTCAATTCTACAATACATTACTCGCGTATTTTTTTAACATAATTAGTGTAATTACTCGCGTAAAGTGTTTCTAACGTCCCAACATTATCTCAATTTTCATTTTTTTTTAATGATTTGTGATGAAATATAGATTGATATTTTAAGTGCTTTAGATAGAATAGAACTTTTTATTATACTTGAGTATATCTAAGTGTTTTAGACAAAAATAATACAAAAATTTTTGTATTATAAAACAATTTGTGCCAAATATGTGTAAATATTCATATATTTAGCGAATTTATAAAATTGGGACGTCTCAGATTCCTCATGAATAATGAAGGATTAATAGATCTGTTCTTTTTAGTTGAACTTTTTGCATAATTTATCTTTTCCTTTTTTCTCTCCATGTTGAAAAGAAAAAGAAAAAAAGAGAGGTGAACAGTGCAAAAAAATTCAACTAAAAAGAACAAGCTTAAAACATTTTTCGATTAATTTAGATTAACATATATTAATATATATTAATGAACCTGCTCTTTTAGCCATAGTCACCAAAATGCTAACTCTATCCTGCTGCATCTTACACAGGCCAGTTATTCTATGTGGCAGCATGGTTCCATTTGATCGTAAAAACTGATTTAGAATAAGAACATCCTGCAAAACATATAGGAAACCTCAGATTTGATGACTATAATATAAATTATTCACGTAATAAGAACTATAAAACGATAAAAAGTAAGTTAAACCAAGTGTTATAAAACTTACAGTATGTTTAACGTCAAGTCCCGTAGCGCAAAGGGGACACGCTTTGGACTTCATTTTTAATAATAAATGCTTCTTCTTCTGTGGCACTCTAATAGCTTGGATAGTCAAGACCTCATTTTCTTCCTTCTCAATTACTACAATAAGAAGTTAAATGTGAGTAAGCTCCAGCTATTGAGACAAGGTTACGTACAGGTTAGATAGTATAAGTTTGCAATAAAGATCACAATAAAATTACGTGCCCCGCTTTGTTAAGCGGTGTTTAATAGCGAACTCACTCTGTCTTAAATATGTGGTTGCGGACAGCGATACGCTTCTATTAGATTCCGAGAAAATTAGACTTTTCCCAAATTGCTTTACAGACCGAAACAGAGCTGCCATTTTCGGCCCAGTGATTCTCGATGTTTTGTTCGTACATTCGTAGCATTTGTAACGATAGCTGTCGGTAACGAAAGAATTAAATAGATTTATGCCTTCTCGAAAATATTAATTTTGTGGAAAATTTACAGTTCATTTTGTACATATAGAGAATTTCATAAAATTCTTGCAGGCTTTTTTACATGTTAAATTTATTAATTTTTAAAATTTTATATCATTATTACCGACAGGACAAATTTTGAAAATTTTAAACAATTTTAATGTTAATTTTCGTATTTGTATATAATATATATGTATCAATAATAAATATTTTATAATATATTTTAATATTTTAATATTTTATTAAATTTATTGAAAACTAAACTATAAGATTCTATAAGGTTTTTTTTTTTCGTATTTACGCTGCATTACATTTTTTGCACTTAGAACGAGATAGACGAGAAAAATTGAAGAGAAACATGGAAAAGACGAAAAAATTCAATATAAAGAACAAACTATAAAGAACAAACTTCACGTATTATACGCGGGGTTGTGTAATTGCTTTATCACATGAAGTTGCACCTATATGCGTGTCTTTTCTAAATAAAACCGGAAACTTTGATGTCTTCTCTTTAATATTAAAATTAAAGAGAGAAAAAGAAAGCAATTTCCTATAAAAAAAAAAAAAAAAAAACTTTCAAAACCTGACAATCATATACGAATATCCAAGAGATACGATACGTTCGATCACACCAGAAGCCAACTTCAAGTAGAACCGACGCCGCGTGACGTCACGTGCGCAGCTAGTCACACTTCACTTCGTTCCCGTCGCGTTCCCCGCGTCCCACCGTCATCGTCGTCGTCGTCGTCGCCGCGCTGCCGTAGCGCTCTCGCGGCAGTCGCGGTCGTCTGCGATGAGTTTAGTTTTGAAAACAAAGGGCCGCCCGCCGTATACCGTGGTGCGTCGTCGTCGTCACACGGCTTGCGCTTAAAGGAAAGCGGAAGCGCCTCGCGAGTGCGGCGCAAGACGGCGGACGAGGATTAAAACACCGTGCGTTGTGGCACAAGTCGTGTACTACGATTTCAACGGTCCTTTCGTCCCTCTTTCGTTTCAGCTGTTTATTCGTACGTCCGTTCGTCTCTCTCTCTCATTCTCTCCTGTGTGCTTCTACCTATAAAGATATTTAATATCTATAAAGATATTTATCCTGTGTGTTTGTCTCTTTTCTCTCTCTCTTTCTTTCTCTCTCTCCCAGCCGTCCCCTAAATTCCCCGTGACACTCTCCCTTCGTGTCATCGTTGGAAACGTGATCAACACAAAAAAATGGACGCACTTCGGGAGCAGGTGATGATCAATCAGTTTGTGTTGGCCGCTGGCTGTGCCAGGGAGCAGGCGAAGCAATTGCTGCAAGCAGCGCATTGGCAATTTGAGGTGAGGAAAAAATTGGAAGACGAACGATTTGAATTGAGAACGAACGAGGAGTGATGAAAGAGGAGGGGGGGAGGAAATGGGCCCTAGAACGTGTCTCTCCCTCCCCGCTCTGTGACGTGTGTATATGTCGCACACGCACGTATTATGCATGTACGCGGTGGTGTATCCTTGCCTCGGACACTGCTACGTAAACAAAGCGACGAAAATGGCCGCCGTCGCCGCCGCTTTAACGCCGCGTGATCCCCGCGACGACGACGTTCGCCCGCGACGAGGAACGTGAATGTCGATTCGCCGATCCGCGAATCGACATTCGTTCCTCGTCGCTGCCGTCGACGAAGGCGCGAGGCCACGCCGCTGTCTCGTCCGCTTCATTCATAAAAATCGCACGATGCCTGCTAACGCGGCAACGCTAGCAACACGCGGCCCGATGTGGGATCGCAGGAACAACAAGAAAAACGTAAACCCGCATATCGTAGATTTGGCTTTTATTCTTACACCAGGTAATGCTCGTTTCTATCGCTACAGATTAACTTTAATCCTGGTTTAACATACTTTTCCTCTTTTTTTTAGTATTCTAAGAATTAGAAGAGGATGAAGAGTAAATTAAATTAAATCTACATTGGTAGAAGCGCCAGGTTCCACCAATTAACTTTAATCTTGGTTTAACTTACTATTTGTCTTTCTCTAGTTATAAGAATTAGAATAATTCTTTAAATAGTTATAGAATTAGAAAAAGATAAACAGTAAGTTAAAGTTAATATTACATTGATGGAAGTGGGTCTAAGGTTGTTCTAGAACTTTCCTTGGGTCTGTTCTTGATCTCTTGCGCGATTTATCTTTCTTCTTCTTTTTCTCTTCATACTGCAGAGAAAAGGAGAAAGGATGAACTCTGTAAGAAACTGAGCTAAAAAAAAAACAGACCTTTCCTAGCTTTCATTAAATTTCAAAGTGAAGCCTGAGACGCAATTAAAAAGTACACGTAATATAGGAACAGGAAATAACGGATTCAACCTATCGAGAACTATTCTGGTTTCTACATGGTTTCTGATAGGTTGAAATTTGTTGTTCCCTGTTACCTGTACTTTTCAATTGTGCCTCAGGCTTCACTTTCAGTATAGAACATGTACATGAGTTCATGTATAAAAAATAGACACGTCTTTTGTTAGTCCCGCGCACGTCGTAAATGTGCAACATCGTGGAACAGCGACCGTAAATAATAGGATCTGCAGAAGCGGTCTTGTCTTGCCGATGCTGACGAGAGTATTGCGGCACTTCGCACGTTGTATCGCTTTCATTTCACTTTCGCATCCGGCTTGCGCACAGTTGTTGTACAACCTGCGTTTGTTTTCATTTTGCAGATCTGTGTGACAATCGTCATCGTTGCGCAACAGGATTTTATCGCCGCTATTGATTCATCAACAATCCTTTCGCCGTGTAGGGTGTCGTATCGATTGTAGCGCTATATTATGCCATAGATAGATCATAGATTGTTGTGAAATTATTGTGCAATATTATTGCTCTAGAGTCGCACATCCCGAGAGCGATTACGGCACTCTCTTCGGATTACGTCATTTTTCGCGCACGACATACGCAAGATCTTATCCCAATTGACGGACGTAGGACGACGGGAGAGGGATCGATAATTGCTATTTGCGGCAAGTCACGTGATATACCGGTGTTTACACTCGTCTTCTCGCAATCCTGTCGAGCTGTTACACAATCCTGTGCGTTAAAAGCAGGAACTGGAACCGACTATAAATTTTCGGCGAATTCAGGACCCGATGCCCGCCGGGCACGCAAGCGTGACTCATCTACGTAATTTTCCGCAGACGGTGGAATCATATCGTTGTTGACATAAAATCCTATTTCTCCATATGTATATATATATATATATAGAAATTGGAAAATTTGTCTTAAAAACACATTTCACGTGTTTCAAAGCGTCCACTTAAATTTTTATTTAATTTAACACGAGAAATATATGTCAGAAAGTAGCATATAAATGTTATATAAAAAAATTAACTATGTTATATAAAAAAATGTAAACACTGACACAATTTGTAAGTAAACTATGGAACCATGTTTTTTAAAGTAAATTAATATATGTAAAATTAATATGTGTTTTATTCATTCATCTCAGAATGTTTTTTAAAACGTAAATTATAAGATAAGAATGGATATAATGTGTAAATTTTTAAATTAGAATGAATAAAATGTTAATTTAACATATAAATGTTAAATTTATTGAAACATGTTAATTTAATGCTATAAATGTTAATCTTAGTTAATGAAGAAATATGTTGTTTACAAATTGCATCAATGTTAATTTTTTACATAATATCTGTGAAACATCTAATATTCATTTTAATTTAAATGAATTGTTTGGGATACGTCAAATGTGTTAAATTTAACATAAATTTTTTGACTATATATGTATGTAATATTCTTTTCCTTAATAATAAATTCGGCAGAAAAAGATTGATTGTTTATCGCTGACAAGGAAACCTTTCGTTAATTTCGATGGTAGAACTGCTAAAAATAGACATGTATTCGTTACATGTATTTTCACACGCGTTAGAAATTGAAACAATTCTTCGAAACTAATTTAGTATCTGATTTCGATGAAATGTTATCGAAACCGTGTAGTGTATAAAAAATGTTTTAAACAAAAGGTTTGCGTAGCATTTTATCTACTTCGTAATTAGATATTTCATATTTAGATTTTTCAAAAATGTCATATTTTGTCAATCTTATCTTCCTTTTCTAGTGATTAAACATATTTATTAGAATAAAAAGGAAAAGAGCCTTTTACATATTACAAAATCAATTATATAATAAAAATGTTTATATATTACTGAGAAAGAGAGAGGATAGAAACGAATAAATGAGAAATTTTTGAGAAGAATAGATATGCTATAATTAAGGGGATATTCTGGTTTGTAAAGCTAAAAATTACATGATTATTCAGGAATTTTTTTAAAAGAAATAAATTAATATATTAATATAAAACTTTTTGAAACTTTTT